AGCCTATCCGCTCTCCACTTCCAGGGGCCCCTCAGCCCAGGAAGGTCTCCCTCATTTGGCCAGGCCTCCCTGCAGGACACAACGATCCAACCTGTGTGACCCGGCAGGAGTGACGTCCTGGAACAGTCCCCTCCACACCCAGGGCTTCTAGCACTCAGGGGGACGGGGGCAAGCCAGAGCAGTAGATGCTGGCCAGATGCACTAGGAACTCCCTAAGCCTGGAACACCTCAAGCCAGATGGAGAATTCTTCAGAAGGGCCCCGTTCCCTCTGTTTAAGTTTCAAGGCTTGACAAGGATGTCTGGCATTTCTCCCTTTCCTCACCAGCCTGCTCAGTCCAGCAAGCTGTGCCCCAGCTTCCCCACACCCCCAACCATTTCTCATTTACCAAGTCTCCTTCCTGTACTCCAGGGAACTACCTCCTCCGACGCCCAACCGCACCATCATCCAGAGAAGGCTGAATTCTCCTCCCACACGAAATGGAGGTGCCAACCCCGTCCAAGCCCCAGTCCCGAGGTCATAGACACAGACTGACAGATCCTGCCTCAGGTTTATTTGTACAAATAGCACAGGAGGACAGCAGCCCAGGGTCACACCAGTCCTTTCACCCTCACGTCGGCAGACGGACTTCTACTCTGGAGCCTTTGTGGGGGCCTGGGCACCTTTGGGAGCTGGAGCCTGAGCCTGAGCCTGAGCAGGAGCTGCAGCCGCAGCCGCAGCCGTAGCCTGGGCCTTGGTTTGAGCCTTGGCCTTGGACTTTGGCCGGCAGAGCCTGAGACCCTTGGCAATACGGGCACGAGCACGTTTTCCAAGCTTGGGGTGAGCGATGTAGGCAAGTCGATTGAGCTTGCGGCTGCCGCCCTTCGGGATCTTGGGCTTGACCTCTTTGGGCTTTACGAGGGCCTTGATAGCTTCAGCACGTGCACTCATGGCCTTGGCGTTGTTGGCCTGCATCTTCTTCAGCCCCTTCTTGTTGTGCTTCTTGGCAAAGCGCATGTTCCTTAGGAACTTGGGGTCTACCTGGAAGGAAAGGTATAGGCGGCTCTAAGTGCAGCATGTACAGGTCACCAAGTCATCCAGAGCGGTACCCTGGAGACTACCAGGCTCCGGCCAAGGCCTACTGGGGGTTTAGACAGTGTATCAAGTCACCTTTGAAGGCTGACATAAACTATCTGCAAAGAAACACACCACTACCCCAGAAGCCAATATCACACCCTGCTATGCAATGTAAAAGCACAGCCTCAGAGCTACATGCCCGGAGTCCAGTAGAGCTCAAACGTGAGTGCGGAAGGAAAGAACAGACTGCCCCTTCTGCCAAGGTTGCAGGGCTATGGATGAGTCCCGAAACCCCCTCAGGGACATCGCACCCCCTTAATGGAAGGTACCAATTAAATACTAAGCCTAGTACAACAGATTCACAGCAAATTACGTAGAATAAGAAACCAAGAATCAGACAGATATAGGGTTCAGTTCTACTCTGACCCTACAGCCTCAGCCTTCTCAGCTGATCTGTAGCATTCCCCAGTACTGGAAGGAAACTTCGCAAGCCCAGCACCGGATCAGATCAAGGTCCTATGGCTAGTCAAGATGGAATGGAAGGCTCAGAGGGTACCTGGTATGCACAGACAAGGCCATTCCTTCCCTTGAAGTGCTCTGGGTGGATAAGGGAGATGGTCAAACTGCCCTCAGGAGATAGGTTGACTATGATTTACATCCTGGGCTTGAAAAGGCCAAGTAAAACTTTATTATGGGTCTCGCAGGGCCTGAAGTTCAGCAAAAGCTGGCCGGGTAGAGAAAAAAATTGTGAACTTTGGCAGGCCAGGTAAGACAAAGGACAGTTAATCACGGTGCACAGGCAGATGGGGAAGCTGGAAAAAGCTATATGGAAGACCTGAACGGTACAGCTGGAACCAAAGACACACCTGTATGTGATTCAGCGCGCACTTACCCCCTTGAGAGATTCATATCTTTGTGATCGGGGTTTCTTGATGCCATTTCGGTGCCATTTCCGGGCTGTGGGAAAGAAAAAGAATTAAGATCAAAAAAGAAGTTTCTTCTAAATATGACCACCGAACATCACAGCTGGCAAGCCTTGGAGAACCATTACTTCCCAGAGCAGGTAATGAGATCCAGGATACCCCTTATCGCTAAGTGCAGAGGACTGTGGGGATTTCAGTGGACCCATGGCTTCTAAATCTATAACCCCAACAGTAATACTGGCTGAAAACAAGTACTAAGAAACAAGCACTACGCCCACAGTAGAAATGTGTTTTCCTGCCCTGCCCCGCCCCGCCCCAGCATCCTGAATCCTTGCTAGGGTCTGGGACGTGAGACGGAGGCTGGGCCAGAGGAACTTACACTGGTTGTGCGTGGTGTGGTTCTTGGACTTGGCCATGACTGCACCTGGAGGTCGAAAGTGAGGATCAGGGCTGGGGGCTCAGCGGCGGGGCCTACCCCTGCCGTCCTGATGCGGGAGAACGCGAGGCCAGAAGCCAGGATGAGGCTGCAACACAAACGCCTTGCATCTGCGGCCTCTACCCGCCTCGACTCACTCTGCACGACTAGACGCCAGTCCCCGTAAAATCAGGTAATGGTGCCCCGAAACCAACACCGCCACCGCAAGGTTGCGCTCTCCCCGCAAATCGAGTTCTCCTCCTCCCATCCACTCCTCGGGACCCCACAAGCATCACTCCTGCCCCGCAGCCTCCGCTCCCCACAGCCAAGGAGCCGGTCTCCCTGACCGCCCCGGAGCTTGCGCCTCGCCGCCGTCCGCGCCTCGCGGATGGCTTCGGATGCCGCGCGGCGGATACTTACCGAAGCCCGCGGCTCCCGAAAGGCCTGGGACCGGAAGAGAAAGAGGAAGGCCGCGGTGCAGCACGGGAAATAGGGTCGTCGAGGCCGGAAGGTACTACTGGGAAAGCTTCCCCCGGCGCCGAGAAGAAAGGTTCCTAAGTCCGAGAGAGCGCAGGGCAGGCGGGCAGGCGGAGCTACGAGCCGGGCCCCGCCCCTTCCGGTCTTACCTTTTCTTTCTTTTCTTCCTCCTGGGCCGGGTCCTGCGCCCAGGTCTCATCAGAGGCCTGAGGGCGAAGGGAAGCCTTGAGGGCTGTGCTAGGCAGAGAGTGACACATTGGTATTCTTAAAAAATACCCCTGGCTCCTGCGTGGAGTTGTCTGTCGGGATAGGGGAGGGGAGGGCTGCGAGGACGCAGGTGCTGGACACAGTCGGGGAGCGATGGCACCTGACCCGGGTGGGGGCAGTGGGGAAGGAGAGCAGCGGATAAGGAAAGAGAGTAGACTGGGCTTGGGATGCAGGGATGAGGGAGAGGAAGGAGGCCAGAGTGGCCCTTACGTTTTTGGCTTGAACATCTGGGTGAATTGTAGTTGCTGTTTACCGAAATGGGGAAGACTGGGAGAGAGCCTGGTTTTGTTGCTTTGCCTTCAGGGAACCGCTGATCCAGATGTTTCTTTTTAGACGCATTAAATGTGACATGCTTTTTGGACATTGAAGATGAATGAGCATTGGATCCTAACTACTCTGTTCCCTTCTTCACCTCTTACCCTTGCAGTTCATTGTCCACACAGCTTTGTGGCCTGAGGGTGCTTTTTAAGATACAAATCAGATATTGTCATTTAAAGTCTGCAAGGACTTCCTCTTGCATTGGAGATAAATTCCTTTCCTTCCTTAACGCTGCTGACAACCCTCTCCTTATGGTTAGCTTCTTTCCAAGCCCATGGACCTTTTTCCTGTCAAGCACAAATGCTTGCTCCTGCTTCAGGGCTTTGTACTTGTTATCCTGTCCACCCGGACCACCTTCTCCCTGCTCCTTGGATGATGTGCTTTCTTGGAGAGGCCTCGCCTCCCTAGACCGCCCTATCTAAAATGGAGACCCTCTGCCCTTACTCCCCAGTCTCTGTGTCCTCTCAATCTGTTTGCTGCTTTCATAGAACTTTCCCAGATTGTGACCTTTATCTGCTTGTGTATATGTCCATTGGCATAAGCACCATGTTTGGGACTGGCTTGGCCGTGTTCATGTTCCCATTGCCTAGCACATCACTTGATGTAGGACAGGAGCTTAAACACCTGTCGAATGGACATTCCTTGGCCAGGCAGGTTCGTGGAATGACCGAAGCATATCGCACAGAGTTTGGGAGTGAGGGGGAAGAAGGATGTAGGCAGGATATGCAGATAACTCCTTATCAAGCCTGCAAAGGGGTAGAGGACTCTGGCAGGTGTGAGTTAGAATGAAGGGCAGGCTCAGATGCTGATGGAGTGACCTAGTGCCAACAAAGAAATATAGTTAAGGCAAGAGAGGAAGGTGTCTGCAGGAGCAAAGTCCTCAAAAGGTGCTGAGAACAGGTGGAGGAGCTGGTGGGCAGAGGTGGGGGCTGCCGGAGGTGGAGGTGGCATGATGCCTGCGGGGGAGTCAGGTTCTCAGCCCTGGGAGTGGGAGAGGTGGAGCCAGAGGCTGGGCCAGAGAGGCGAAGGTTTGTCTGCCGCACCCTTGAGAAAGAGAAGCAAGCAGGGTAGAGGCCAGCAGGGGAGGTTGTGAGGACTTTAAAGGAACTAGGCTACCCCCTGTGTGGCCTGCCAGCTGGGTGGTAGCTCCCACAGCTCCTAAAATGTGAGCAATGACACCTGCTTAGGACTCGGTCTTGCCAGGCTGTTATGACGGTGCCAGAGCAGGCAGAGAGCCATGGTCTTGACAGGGAAGGCAGAGGCAAAGACAGCTGTATGTGAGGGATAGCTCGCTCGCTCAAGTGCACGTGCTTCCTCCCTCCCTCCCCCTCTCTGGCTTTCCCTCCCCTTCCCTCCCCTTCCCCTCCCTTCCCTTCCCCCTCTTCATTATACAAGTTCGCCTGTAACCTGATTTTATTGATTCAGTCATACTTTGTGGACATCTTTTCCTGTTCATGAAAACCCTTCGTAATCCTACTTTATTTTACTCATTTAAAAACATAATTCTCAGAAGAGTTCAATAAACAGCACCAGATGTCAAAGGAGTCTGACACAAAAAAAGGTGAGGAACTTAACCCTTCTAGAGTTGACACACTCCCACCCTCTGTGAGTGATCAGCTCTTACCCCATGTCAAGGCCACAGGGAGGCCATCTTCTGTGATATGACCTTGGACAGAGCCACTGGCTGGACCCAGCAGAGCATCTTCCGCCTTGGGCACAAGACAGAGGAAGATGTGAGGCCTCAATGAGCTGGACGGGGTGACGGGGAAGGGTTGGGTGTGATCCTCCCGAGCCATGTGGCCTGCAGTGGCCTTGTCCAGACCACAGCCCAAGTGGGATCCACGCCTGGCACAGTCCCGGGTGCATGTGGGGACCTGATGAACATTTGAGGAATTAAATGTACACATTTCAGAAATCCAGGCAGAAAGCAGGATCAGGAGGCAAGAGGCCAGCCGGCCTGCAGGGATTTCAGAGAGAGAAGGGTCAGCGCTTCTGCTGGGCCAGTTCTTTGCTCTCTAAGCCTCGGTTCTGAGTGTAACCTGGGAATAGAAACAGTAATGGCCTCGCAAGGTGAAACTGGATAATTTGAGTAAAGTGCTAAACACCGTGCTGAGTGCACGGCAGGTGCTCACTCGCTGCTTTTTCTTTTCCTTCTCCAGCCAGGCCTTTTCTCTGCAAGGCCTCTGGGGAGGGAGACGGGGCTGAGGGAAAGAATGTGCCAGTGGCAAGTGAGTGCTAAAAATGACAGGATCTGAGGGAAGGCCGGGATGGAGGGAAGTGACAGTTCTCAGTCCTGAAGTTCCAGAGAGACAGGGACCACCAGTGTGCCCTGATAAGAGAGGCCGGGGGTGGGTTGTCAGAACCAGGATGTTTTATCTGTGGGTGAGAAGCCAAAGAGGCAGAGAGGAGGGGGGGTCCCCCAGCACTAGATCTTCGGATCTGCTTAGAAATTCCCAAGTGAGAGGCCACCTGGTTCTGGGTGGCCCCAGAGGGCAGAGCTGTGATCGAGGGAGGCAAAACCCAGCTCCACAGACGAGGGTCATTTCTGCAATTTCCTCCAAACCATGAGCCCCTCCCGGAGATAGTGGGCGCCCGGATTCAGAGTGTGCAAGCGGTCATCGAATTATCAGGAATGGAGGTTGAAATATGGGGCGGACAGTTGGGAGATAAGCTCTTAAGTTCACATTCCTCCGACAATGTGGGACTCGGAGCTCCGGGAGGAAAGGCTGCGGGCAGCGCGCGATGCCAGGCTGGGGGTCGGGACCTGTCGGGAGCAGAGGGCAGTCGGGGCAGAGGCTTGGAGGTACCGCCCTTGGGTGGGCCTCACAGCCCAGGTCTCTGTCCTTCCGCGGGGTCCCAGGAGTGATGGTGTCCCCAGCCGGGAGTGTGAGCCTGTGGTCCGCACGGGGGCAGCATGGGACTGCAGATGGAGCGGGGCTGCCGCAGCGGCTCCCCGCGGGAGCCCTCTGCCCTCCCAGACCTCGCGTCTCCTGCTTCTTGCTTCTCGGTCCGTCCCACCCACCCCACACCTATGGATCAAAGCCCTGTCTGCCCATTCTCGGCAGCTTCTCTGGGATAGGCTGGGTCTCCCCTGGCTCCAAGCTCTTGGTAGCGGTGGTGGTGGTGAGGGGCGTCCTCCCCCAGAGAGGGTTCAGGGCGAAGGCAGTGGCACCTGTGGGTACCCTCTGGGTACAGCCTCTGCTGGTCCACCTCCCAGTCCGGGGGCCATGTCCGTTGAGGGTCAGATGAACAGGTTTTGACATCAGAGACAGGTTCAAATTCTGACTGCCACTCACCAGCAGAGGGACCTCACCTCTCTGAGCCTTGGTGTCATTTGTCACAGTGGAGGGAGAGCAGTGCCCAGTGCGGAGTGGGGGGAAGCCCTTTGGAGCTGGCTGTGCACGCCAGAGAGCGCACAGCAGCCTTGGGCCCGGCGGGGTTCTCGTCACCCTGTTTCACAGGCAAGGAGACAGAGGCCTCGGACATGACAGCCCAGAGCAGCGACAGTGGTCCAGACGCCACTAGGACCCAGAGGAGTGTGGGCCGCTGTGTGCCTGGTGAGGTCACTGAGGGAGCCCTGTGACACTAACCACCAGGTGACCACGGAGAAACCCTCAGCTTTATGGCCAACAGATGCCCGGCGCGGGGGTTGTCCTCTGTGCTGGCCCCTGCCTCTGAAGGGAGGGACAGAGTAGGCGGGTGCGTGAGGGTGCCGGACAGGGCAGGACTGCACCCTGAGTGGCTCCCCCCGCTCTGAGGTGAACAGCACAGACGGGCTAAGGAGACTCCTCCCCACAGACAGCATCTGACCAGGAAGAATGAAGCTGAGGGTCGGGAGGGGCCCTTTCCTTTCCGCCCCAGCAGCCCCTGTGGCGTCATCGCTGTGCCCCCTGCGGCCCCCGCGGCCCCTCCAGCTCCCCTTCTTCAGCCTGTTCTGCCCGGATGCCCCTCTTGCCTGCATCTGCCCACGCTCCCAGCCCAGGCTATCACCTACCTAAGACTTCCAGTCCCCCCTCTCTCGCAGGAGACGGGCGGGGCGCCCCTGGCAGAGCAGAGAGAACCGGCTCTGGGGCAGGGGCCTTGAAGACCCTCTGGTTCCCTCGCCAAGCCTGCGGATGGGGAAACCGAGGCCTGGACCAGAGAAGGGGCTTGCCCACGCGCACTGGAGCATGCGGCAAATTCGGGGGGAACCAGGGAGGTCAGAGCCGGGGGGGCCTCACAGTGAAGCTGAAGGACAGGCAATGAGGGTCACGGGAGGGCCACAGCTGACAGCGGAGGGGGTCCAGCAAAGGCTCGTGGCCTGCCCTTGCCTGCTCCCCATTTTCTGCCCGCCCCCCCCGT